AATTATGTCCACAATGGTTCCTCGAAAGAAACGTGTGCACTCACGAACCTAAAGAAAGTGGTTTTATGATTTAAAGGATTGCACCCTTGCATCTTCCATAATTACTATTACAGTATATATGTTTGCAACAGATCTTCATCTTGTAACTAGCCGGATTTCAATTTCTTGCTGCCCGAAAGTACTAGTGTAATCGACTCGTCGAAATGCGATGAAACTCGCTTATTTTAAATAATGCAGATCGACAGGACATACTGTTAGACTAGCAAAACTTCGTTCTAACACGTAATTCAATTAATATAAGTTAAGATTAAAAAGACGATACATGAGGGTGTCATAACAGATGCAAGCGCTATGCCCCTCATTATGACCGCGTCATATAACGAATCATATTTAAATTAGTACAAATCATACTTAAATTAGCTGTTGTTTATCGCAAAGCGTATAAATTGAAGGGTCTTCATTGTGTTTTTAGTTCTTCTTTGAAGAAGGGCTATGTAAGCTGTGTTCGAAGAACTTTAGCTTAAGTGGCGCATCTAAAAAGGTTTGGGTTTGTTCTACCTCTGGGGTAATTGAATTTCTAGCGACGATTTGGTATATTAGTATTGTTTGTATCATAGATGCATCTAGTATTGTTTGTGATTCCACTATCTATGATAAACTGTGTGTCCCCGACCGAGTTCCCAGTGTGCCTGGGTCGTTTTCAAACGAAGACCAAAAGCGCTGTTACTATTGTTTCGATTCTAGTTCTTATTATATTACCAACAGCTGTAATAGTATTATAAAAAAGAATACGCAGTATACGACCAATCAACATGATAAATAGTATAATGAATATTTTATTTACTTCCGTATGATTCATTTATATATTTATATATATTTGAACACATTAGTTTTCCTTTTAAAGCACATGTATATATATATATATATATATATATATATATATATACATACCGACTGGTGAAACATTTGCGAATTATATCTTTAGTTACGACCTTCCATGTGTATTGCCGTTCCTATAGTAACAAAACAAGGCTCTTGACAATATTGATCAGGAACTCTGAAATGAAAGGATACACACCAAACCGTATCGTTTAATGAACGCTAGCAGCTGATGCTACTTACAGTTATATTATACAGTGTTAAAAAAATGGAAAACACTATATATTTGTACTATTTAGCTGCTTCTGGACATTGCATATTTAATCCTGCTACAGGCCCACTAAAGAATCTGACAAAATGTAATGACGAAAGGCCTTTGAAAGACAGATCAGCCTCTAAAATCAAACTATAGTCAATCCCTGAGTTGTTTACCCAAATTAAGTTAATTGTATTCTTGCTGGGGACGAATATTTACAATAGAATAAAAATCAGTAAACAGTCACCTCGCTAAAATATTGACGATCACAAAAAAACATTACATAACGTACATCACGCACAGGATATGAATGAGGTGCCGGATCCACAATTATCAAGTTCTGTTTTTCATTCCAGGACGGAGACTGGGATGACGTTCTAAAATAAGCACGGCCCGTTCTATCAGCGCATCGTGTTAATTTAGCAAATATTAATGTGACAGATAGAAAAGCGTAAAGCGATGTCAAGTGTCAATCCTTGCAAAAAAAAGGCCTGCGGTAAAACCTCAAGTGGGCGTTTTAACGAAAGATGGCACGCTGAAACTTCCGTAACGTGGTGGCAGAAGAAGACGGTAAAGAAAAGCCTCTACGTTATACAGTAAAAATCAGACCTTACAGAACTGAAATGCAGCTTGCCCACACTTTAGCTTGCCCAATTCCACCTAATTTTTGACGTAGTCAGAATGAGTATTACCATATATATATAGTTACCTTATATTATAGATTGTCGGAATCTTAAAAACGGGATCAATTTGTCATCAAAATTTGATGTTATCCTTCTTAAAAGGAAGGCAAGTCACTTAGGAATGACAATGGGAACAACATTAGTTTTCTGTTTCGCCGTAAATGATCCTCTAAATGTTTGTGAGGCTGTTGTAACGCTTAGAGAGCGTAGGAGCGACCAAGATGGAAACAAAAAGCCCTATTTTAAAAAACATTGTTACCATGAACACAACCGATGACCAATACATATATATATATATATATGTATACATATACGATTCTTCTATAAAATGCCTTCTATAAAAAAAAAAAAAAAAAAAAAAGAAACATTTGCTCTCGTTTATCGCTCATATGTTCTCCGTACCTCACTAATTGTATCTTTTCTTTCGTTTTTGAAACTTTTCAGCCGGTCATAATAAGCTATGTGGTTGGATCTTGCATGGGATACATTCTTATTATATATTCCTTTTATACATTAATACATTCCTCGCCGTATGGCTAGTTGCATGTATCTTCTTCATAAACATATTGCTTCCGCTATCTACAAATAAAGCTGACATCCTAGAATTTGTGCATTGATGCTGATGATAGCTCTCTTTGTGAGTATTCAAATTAGCTTTTTTCTACATTTACATTTTTCACTTTCTTGCAAACTGTGTTTTGTTAGATATTGTTAGATTGACTGATGAGTGGGGTCATCGTTGACATACGAGCGTGGCCGAGCGTGGAGCTTAGTCCCGACACTGAACTCGTTTCCATTGAGACCACCAATTTTTAATTCCTCTTCAAAGCTTCACTATGGTATTGAGCCAGATTTTCGTCTATTACAGTCTGCTCGGTGCAAGCCTTACCGGATCACAAAGCATCATCTGAAACGATCCCTATATTGAGAACTCATCGTTAGTAACTTATAGTGACGAATGAAATATCCGCAAGCAGGCAAATTGTCCTCATTCATATGCACTATCTAGACTAGTTCGGACTTCGTAGCATCATTACCTTCTTGAAAAAAACTTTCCTATTAGAAAGCATTGCTTACGAAATATCTTCCAGGATGCTTTGCATAATAATAATAAACAATGCGTTGCGCGGATTGCTTTTTGAGACAACGTCTCACAAAGACTGTAACTTAGATGACAGCAATTGATAAACATTTTTTGACCTGACAAATGTTTTTTTTTCTAATCGATGAGGTGGACGCGTAAGAGCGCGCAATTCGAAGTGGTCTAAGAGGCTATTAGATCGGCGGACACAGACAGAGCTAAAGCTTCAACAGGAGAGCAACCCGATAGCTGTCCATCTGAGCTGGAGGTTAGGTGAGATAAAAATCTTGAGGGAAAATTGGTATCTGAACGTCGAGGTCGACAATTTTTTAAGCAGTTGGATGCATGGAGCGTGGTAATCGATAATTTGCAACGAAAGCAAGGCACAATTGGGGATAGGAGCTTGTATTAAATACAACACAGTTTCCGCAAACAAACCGGATCGTTTCAACAGAGTAACTATCAAGAAAGAAAAAAAAACCAATTACCACCAAAGGATAATAGGATAAGTGCGTCAAAATGACAGAATTACTAAATCAAGGTAATTGCTAGACTGGATAGGACGATTCATCAAACAAGCTAATTAACTAATTGCCGTGAGGTAACGGGATAGTCCAGTGAAAGAATTAGATATCTATTAATCGGGAGCGCCAAATCTCATTAACGGCTTACGTACACAACTGTTCATAGCTTGTTACCTTCCTGTCCTAGGTTATCTAACTATAATCTACTATAATATATGCCCTGGCTGATTTGTCTTGTTATCCTAATATCAGTCACCATGGAAATTTACATTTGTGATTGAATACAGTATTCAAAATTCGTCAACCTCATCACTGATCTCGTCACTATCGGTCGTCAATAATATCAACATCCGTTGCCGTTGGAGTTCAATGATTATGAAAAAGGAAACCAATCGCTATAATCGATAGCTGCGCTGCCTTAAGAATAAGAGAAACATGACCTATATTTTGACAAAATACAGCCAGTAACAGTAGAGCTCTGTTATGTTCGATCGCTAGCTTAAAAGACAATGGAAGTCGTTCGACTATCCGTTTACTTTATGTTAGTCAAACCGGCTGCCTGAGACAATGTATAGCTATTCATTGCGTTCGTTCAAAGTGAATGATGATAAGTACAAGTTACTTATAGGTGAGTAAAAATGAATATGGTTAGAGAGAGAAGGACCGTTGTGTTATAGGAAGGCGAGAAGCTAAACCTGAAATTGTCCTGTTCTTTTGCAAAATAGGTTGACGCTTCTGTAATATAGGTTAAACGCCTTAAAGGTCCTAGATATACAGGCCTATGTACAATAACGGATCCCTCATAATTATCTCAGCCAGAAATGGTTACGTTCAGTAGCTGCTGTCTGTGTCGGCTTTAGAAGGACACAGTTTCTACGAATGTGTCGGCTTATCATTGCGTAAGTGGTCCAGCCTCGGGTAAAGCTTTATAGCTATAGATTTGATTGAATTACTAATAGCTAGTTAAATATACGAACATAGAGGTAGAGGATTCATCGAAGCTATGTTTCACTTAACAATAAAGTACCGTTCACCAAATAATGAAAGGTGTTTTGAGAGTCAAATAATGCAAGATGGTGTACATTCGCCTGTTCGACATTGCTGCAACAGTTAACCTGACTTTGATTCCAGAGCCGATTAATGATAAGCTATAGCGCATAGTCCCAAACTCTCGATTTCTGTCATTGACGGTTCCATGAGCTTGCTATATAATCCCCCAGGAGCCCCATTTGGTCGATCGTAGCCATAATGTGCTAATTAATTTAAAAAGTAGACTAGACGTTTCCAATTCGGCTTTCGAATAGACCAATGTTATCATACATCATTGAATACTATTAAAAACGTTTTCACCAATGTTAAGCAACTCAAATGTGAAAGCAGTCACGGTAGTGTTATAAGGGGGAATTGACACACAAAAAAACATGTAAAACACAAGTATGCTGGTTATTTATAATAATTATAGCTGACATTTTAGTGGAACATGCGCGATATCAATGCCGGTCCCAATAGAAATTTATGTCTGAAAAACAATGTATTGAATTATATGGTTAGAACATAGCTTTCAAAGGGCTTCAATTGCGTATCTCTAGCTAAACAAATATGGAATAGATTTCCAGTGTGTTACACAGCCAAATCTTTTTACGATACCGAACCCGTACAGGTTCCTTAAATAGCCATGGGCTTTTTGTTGTTGTTAGCGATATGAGCACTACCTATAATCCCTTAAAAAGCCCTATAAACCTATAAAAGCAAGTTCTGTGTGACGACGAAACCCGTCGAGTCTAAATAGCGTCAATTAATGTATGAGGGTCAATTAAGCCATTCTGTTAATTACTATTACCCTGCTAGTTAATGGCTATTGTCAGAAATTTTTTGTGTGGCGGCGAGCGACGACTGGAAGAAGAAACGGCCGCCGGACAACGTTACGCTGTGCATTCGCATGAAGGCTTCCTTATTTTTCCGAAGTTCACCCGGGATGCATTTGCAACGCTTTTGATTCGACTGACCGATGCACGTAACCGGCACCGCGATGATATTCCTCACGATCAGATACAGCAACTATTGATCCTCAAACAGCGTTATGACATTGCCAATTGTGAGAGACTGAAGGTACCTACGGATTTTACGTATTCGGATGTCATCATGAGAGATATTGAGCGACAACTATTCAATGACTTTATCGGTCGTGTGGAAGCTGAAGTAATTGCAATTCTCTTTGCGAATGCACTCGAAGGCACCGAGCTAGACCTCAAGATTACGCAAGGTCAGAGCTGTACATCAGTCCGCCTGAAATTTCAAAATGAAGAGTGGATGGTCCACTCATTCATACAGGTTAATATCTGTAGGGTTGCTTTGTTTACTATACGAAACGGTTGTCCTTATATATTTAGTATGTTTTGTCCTTTTTCATAATACCAACTTATTGAACGAGTGCCACGAGTGGTACGATGACTGTCGATAGCAGACAATGCGTTTCCTTTGATGAACATGGTATTCCCACGCAGCACACTCACCGAATTCCGCTTGAGTGCTGGGTGATTTTACCACTTCCATAGTGGCATCATGGTGATATCAGTCAAATTGCGAACCATCAGTGCTTATAATCAGCAAGTGCTCTATGTAATTAGTACAGCTTGGCGGCCTACGCGCGTCCAAGTTCCGACACCTACCTAAAGGTATGATGTGTGTAGCACCTCACGACCTAATAGCTACGTATGCTATATTAATTAATTTCTTTATTTCGTAAGAGATATTTGCCCAAGCATCCGACTTGGGTTTCGGAGTAGACCATCACATCCGTGTAAATCTGTTTAGGCGCGACATTTTACGTTTTAGTGGGATGTGGCTTTTTTCACGTAGAGGTGCGAGAATCGTCAGTGTCTTCTAACAAAACAAAATTGGTTAGATTGCCAAATTAGTGCATGCGCGCTCATTAGAACCAACAGAACAAAAAATTGACCGAAATTTTCCAACGGGAAATGTGTATGATTCGTCGCTAGTTGCACTGACTAACTTTTAATTTAAATTTTATAAACATTTAATTAAAAAAAAAAAAAGATTAATTAATCTTTTAGAGTCAGATTCGGAGAAACTTTAGAGGAGTTTTAGTTACGGAGTTTAGTCAGGGTTTTCACTGATATCTAAAGAGTGCCGATTTTTGTCCGCGTATAGATTACCCTAGAAATTTCAAAATTTTGGCCGGAGTGAAATACGAGCTACAGAAGATTGTTAAACGAAGTACGATGCCACATCTGAAGTTCTAGCACAATTTTCAGTTTTGGAGCTTTGAAGAAATATGAAATATTTCTTAAAAGCCCCAGAATTCATAAAGGAAACGGCGTAGTTTCCGTCACGACGTTAATCACTCGACAGCGTATAGCCTTACATGCCGCCTCCAACAGAGACAGTGATATGTGACAACTATGTGATAACGAAGACACATATGCAATTTTCCACCTAAAACACAAAAATTCATTAAAAAACTAGCCAAGAAACATTTGCCACTTCGAATACGATTAATGCACGAAGATGGCCAAAGGCTTTTTGGATGAAAACAGATTTCGCCACAAAGACGCTGTTCCTACCCACCATGGCTACTTTATCTTTCCTAAACTAACCCTGAAAATATTTGCACTTCTCGTCGATCGGCTGAGTCGTGAGGATAGGCTGCATCCCAGTGAAGTACTTAGAGCTAATTTAACTGTATTGAATAACCTCAGGGGACGTTATGAAGCAGCTAACATCGAAAGGTTGAAAGCACCCGTGATTTATACTTACTTTGACGAGGTGATGCGAGATATTGAACGGCAACTTTTCGGCGATCTGATTGGACATCTAGTGTTCAGGGCAGTCTGCATAAGAGACGCTCCTGAAGACCTTCAAGTCGATCTGAAGATATATCATGGTCCAAGTGTCGGGTCGCTTAAACTGGAGATGGATAGTGCTGTATGGACTTACCATTACCTCGTCCAGGTTAATGTCATACAAATCATGTTGGCCTGTTTTTCTGGAAACTGTAATCACTCTGTTATGTATGTAATTATCTGCAGTGTTGTCTTGATAATGCTTTTGAACCGCGTAACCATTTACGAAGCGTGTACATTGGTATCTTACTGCAAGGCATGAATACTCCAGTATTCGTATTCGTAATGTTTATGTCATGCCGCCGCTCGTGATACTGCAGAGTGAGCTCTAATTCACATATGGTGTTGTCTTTTGTCCGTATTTAGGGTCAGCCTACAGATGAAATTTGGTTTAGGATCAGCCCAAAGACACCTACAGTAAAGATGGAGCTGACATCAAAAGCAGGAATTTTCGGTTTCTTCAAATACCGATTAGTCAATTGGGGAGAACCAGTCGAGTTCGATGTCCTTGATTTAATAGCACGAAAAAGTTTGCTTGATGTCACCTTCGGAAAAATCAAGGTGCGACTGAAATGTGTCTGGCGACCTTCCAGTTGGTACGAAATGCAGCTGGGAAACAGCGGACAAAATCAATGAACTAGCTATAGAATGGCTAGCTACAATACGATCTACGGGTAGTCGTTCTTTTTTTTTGAAAAATACACTATTACTCGTTAGGCAGATCTAATTAGTGAACTGTAATCGATAGCGAATCTGATAGGGAATCCTCGAATAGGAATAACTAAAACGCTTCGAACTAATTCTTTCCAGATAAGATATAGTGACTAACCGGAGATTGTTCAATAGTAGAAACCATGTGCTTCGTCTCAATTTTAAATTGTTTGTGGCAGGCGACGCATAATCCAGTTACTTGCCAGCGACTGAGCCCGTACACTGGCGGAGTGAGTTAGGAACTGTGTTTTTTAGTTAATCACGTGAGTGTTTATTGACCTACCAAGTAGTATTGATAAATTTAGCATTAGGAAACACAAACATTTAATAACATATGCACCTACAAACAGGTGATAATTGTTGGTCAGTAGCTTAGACCCGTATAGTCCTCACAAATTACTCCTTGAAAAGCTTGCTGGACTTCCATTCCAGATTAGGGCTCAGCAATGGCCTGCTTGCAGCGGTGACTGCTTTTTTCTCTAGTTAAATACTTTTGTCCTTATCAGGACTGTGGAAGAGATGATGAACGCTAACTCCATAGGAGCAAGTCCACAGGAGTGAGGTACTAATGCTGACACATAATCATCAATGAAATGGACTTTTACCACGACGTCATCCCCAACCAGAGCGGATAGTCATCATACAATATTGTTTATCCCACCAGATTTCCTGCATTTTCTCCCATTCTAGTTGGAACTTTCAAAGAGCGGGACATTCACTATGTGTCATCTCTCCTGTCAGCCAATGTCTTTGCGAACTTCTTACTCTAAATACTATCAAGTATATTTTTTTCAACAATCAATATCATATCAAGTATATATATATATATATATATATATAATGTGTTTTTTAATATAGGAACCATCTTTTAAAAGAATTCAATTGATTTGGCATCCATTTCTTTAGATAAAACCGTAACATTAGTGCTTGGAGCGTTATTTCTCCTCGGATAATCACGAAATCTGGCCCTCAGTCATGAGAAAAATAAGGTGAGGTGGAGTAACATTGTTCTATAGAATTTAATCGAAGGCTCATTTTGCGCGCGTAATTTAAACTTACATACATTCGAGGATGACTCCAGCGCTCATGACGATAACCAGGTAGTTAAACACACCTAAAAATTCTATGCCAGCGGAGCAGGGATATTTGGTTCAAAAGATTTCAAATGTCATCTGAAGAATCTAATTAAAGAAACAGAATCAGATTAGACGGCCATCTTTTAATAATCGACTTGGTTATTGCCTAATTGAATAATCTGTGCTACTCTTCAATGCGTTTTTCCTATTTATTGCGAACCGTAGGGAGACAGCTGCATATATTATTGCTTAAAGCTATACCACACAGACAAGGGCAACAAGTGATCCAACTCAAGCCACAAGAAGCTTTCGCTTACCAGTACCCCTGGCCGCAGTCATAATTAAATAGTGACCACGACGACGTTATTAATGATGACAGGTGACGTTCAAACAGCGCACGTGTCCGTGGAACGTCTCAACGTACGTGGCTTCCTTGTTAGATTCGACCTGCATACGGTCATCAGATTTCTAGTACAATATAATAGTTAACGGCCGTCGTACCCACCTATGCAAAGTCAGCGAACGATCATAGCATCCCCAGGGTCATTGAAAGCTGTCCAAGACATTTATATACACTACGTGGTACCTGGCTTTCATGGAAAGAAGATGTTCTAATTTCTATTTGGATTTCATCTAAATCGACCGCTTTGGAAACGTCAAAATGAAGCGCTGTCTTTTAAGGGACTAGCAATAATTCTTTTTCAGGCTGAGCGCGCTCTATAGGATCACATTATTACAGTATCGGTCGGCAGGTAGTAGTCATCTGTAGTAGAATTTACGGAATCTATTCTCCCAGTTTTTTCTTCCACAGAGCGACCGTAAGCCGGTGCAGGTCGGCTGCTGGGCGAGCAAATCGTAAGTGTTCCACCTTTAGTTCTTACCATTAGAGATGGATGTTGATGAATAACACCTTATGCGATACGTGCACCAGCGTCATATTCGTCAGAACCCAAACATCAATTTCATTTTTTTTCTTTGTCCGTTCATTCTCAAGCGAACTGCCTCCGCCCCACCGAGTTCATGCAGCTTTATGCATTCAGATCGTGCAGGTCTCACCTTTCACACTTACTCTCCTTTCAAGTGCTGCGTGCTCTGGCGCCTAGATAGATGTCCCGTCTCTATCACTTTCCTCTGCGATTTTCTGTTTCCGAAAACGCACACCTGTCTTGCAGTGAACATCATCATGGATTCGGGCTGCCCTTGGATGCCCTTGATATTGTTATCATATCGGCCCTGGCAATCCGAAACTCTGTACCACCGACACTAGTGCAGATAGCGGCGGAAATGTTTTCATTGAAGTAGCTCGATTATGCGGAGCACAGGACCTCTTACATCGTCGTATAGAGTCGACGTATCGTCGTACCCTTTTTTCGTTTGGGTTTCGCCAATATTATAAAATCGCCTTGCTAAATTGCGGTATTCTTTCCTACTATTAACAGATAGAAAGCGAACAATAGGCGCAACTAGTTTGAACTGCCGCCTCCTTGCCTCGCGACGATTATCCAGTGTTCTGAATCTAGGGACAACATTAGGCAAAAACTCAACGTCGGCGGGTGGCCTTGGCCGCTGTGCGCCCCCAGCGCCGCCTGTTAATCCTTATGAAACCACTACCACCTCCCACTAATCTCACTGTCACCTGCTGAGGTTTCCTGGCACACAACTTTTTTGCTATTAACCTCACTATCTCACACATTCACGTGAAGCGGAGCCCTATCGAGCGGTTGGGCACCAAACGGAGCGAAGCATAGAAAAGCACTGCCTCTATGTCGACGAAAAAGCAGGTGAACTAAACAAGTGGATAGGAGAAGGAAGAACTGTCATTTTCGCTGCCACTGCTGTCAGCCCTGCTAGTCTCTGCTGTTGCAACCATTCGTAAACGGGGGATGTGGGTGAAACTTACTGTGTGGGGCTAGAGAGAGAAAAAGTGGGGAGGCGAGGCCACGAGCAGTTTGAGGTAGAAATAATCACCCAATGGCTAAGTGCACGAATGGTGCCCTGTTTGTTAGTAGGCAGTGGAAAATGCCAAGAAGAAAAGTGGCTTGCCAGTCGCCCGTCGAATCGACTGAAAAGAAGGAAGAATCATTCTCGTACGAAGACCACGACGACTATACGAATGGAACAGCTGTCAGAAAAAGATGAGAAAACGTCGGACAGGCTTACGAGCAATGGCTTGTACAATTGGAGGGGCATGTCCGGATAAAACTAAACGAAGGCGGGCAGATCATGTAGCGTCCCTTCTACCACTGTGACCCGAAAGACATCGATCGGATGAAGAAAACTAGGCTGTCACCGGCAAGTAGGAATAAGGGCTGGTAATCCTCATGTGTCTATCCCTATAGGTGCATTTTTTCGAAGGAGGTGAAATGCAAGTGCACTATGCATTAAGAGTCACCCTTAAAATTAAAGGCTGCAAACATGAAGAACACTTAGGCGGAAAGAGTGACGAAGGCTGGCTCAGGACAAGCACGTCGGCTACAGGAACCGAAGTACGGTTTGAGGTAAATGACAGTCACGAAAGTGGCAGCAGAAACCAGAGAACAACGCGAGTTTTTGTATCAGACAGAAGACCCATATGATATGGTAACTCCAATCTCCATTCACTGTCTTCTCTATGTAAAAAAAGAGTAGAACATATCTCTAAATATAATTACGTTCATACCCACACATGTTGGTGGCAGCCCGTATGTATGTATGTAGAAACATGTGCATGCCATAGTGCATACGAGGGCTATGCAGTTGTATATCTCGGCATGGTAGAATTGCATTTTGTTTTATTATCCTCTGGACCCTGAGATATGGTGTTGCGTCTTAAGTTTAACGCCGAGCCCGGTGCCTAGTGCAACTGAATGTATTGATAAACAACACGCAGCACGACTCTGCTAAGAAGGCTAAGGGAAAAAAATTAGGCTTAAAAAGCTCTTTTTTCTTGTTCCTTTCACAACAGTCTTTTCCCTTCGACTAGCCCCTATCAGCCAGCGGACAGCGACCAGGCAGCCACTCCTTACCTAAAGGAGACTACGCACGGAGTTGGTCGTTCTGATAATGGCTACCAGCCAATAACCGGCTTCGACGTTGAGGAAAATGACAAACGCTACTGCTTTTGGCACAGAGGACAGTGCTACTGAGCGGCAGTGCGACTGCGTCTGGCGTACCGACTGTGTCCGAAAAGCATAACCCTAAGGGAAACTGATGGCCTGCAGGCTACCGACTCGTTAGAGGTCGTCAGTTCACAGATACACATGCGTACACCTACAGAGACTTATTATGGCAATGGCACATGGACATACGATGCTCGTGAACCAGCCAGAAGCACAGACACACTCAACGGCTGGGCAAATGGCCGTCAATGAAATCCTAGGGTAGAAGTTGTCGGGATATTGCGTGCTCACTAGCTCCAACATCTTTCAGCAGACGGCCTGTCTCCATTTTGCTCCCGCGCCCGTGAATTATCTACTTTTGTATTTGTTTTTGCACAGAAGTGTTGTGTATATATCTAAGCAGTGGTCTATAGTAGGAGAAAGCTTATAAAAACCGCTGCTGCCACTCCCACAGCCTAGCTTCTTTCCCAACCATCATAGAAGTTTCCCTCTGAGCATAAAATGAAATCAAACGGACGTTTGTCTTAAGCTATATATCCTTATAATGCAACTGTAATTTTAAATAAAATTAATTTTATTTAATATTACATAAATAAAAAAATGAATATTTATTTACATCATATATTATTTGTTCGTCGGCAAATTTAGTATAGCTATTGTTGCTGGACGCCCTGTTTCGTCGCAACGGCCAAGAAAAAGCCACATAGAAATTTGTTTACTTCAAAATGATTACCGCCGCAGTCAACATCAGATGTAGTGTCTCTCAACATAGGGATTTTGTCACCGACTGAACCTTACTACGTCGCCTGCTTCATGATCGAACCTTACGTCGAATGTTTATTCTCAAAACGCTGTCCAGCTTCGTATGTATGGGGCTGCGTACGCGCGTCCAAGACATTTGCGATGCTGCGCTCACTACCGACACGGTAGCCGACCCCATTATTGCTTAG